TGAACATTAAAGCATGGAGACATGTTACAGAAGAGGCACAAATATGAACCTGAAAATGAACCGAATGCGTTCCCTTTTAACCATGTGCTGTTGTGGCTGCTAGCTTCAAGGCTAACCAAAGATGTAAAGGACTCAAATACTTCCTTGGTAGAATGAACTGGTGGAGTTCATTAACTCTTTTCTATTTAGGAGAGCTTCTTCTTAATTGCTATCATTGCATTTCAACGTATCCAACCTGCCTCCTGGTTTCATGTTGTTGCCAAAAAATGTAGTCACAGGGTCACCTCTTTAAAACCTGAGAATGCCCAGAGACTTCACTTTTAAAGGACGACACAAAGTTACTGCAGATGTATTATTTGGTTTCATGTTGGAGTTTGTTCTGAGTGTTCTGCCTGCCTAATTGGCAGCTTAGGGAAGAAAACAAGTTCACATTTACATATAGCAACAGCTCCAATGTACCTGCCTAATGCTGTTATGCTGCTGTGATCAAAATGTTTTTCTGAACAATGGCTGGATCCTGTAACTGTCGTATTGTCTATCATTATCTGCAGTTCACCTCAGCTTTAGAGTTCTTAGCATCTTAAGGCTTTTTTGTTTGTTTACAATTTACTATTTTTGTTCTCCCATCAACACAGATACAAGCAGGAGCAGACAGTTGTGATGAACTCCCCTACATGACTAGCTCTGCTTCAAAAAAAGTCAGCAAACAGCCCGTGGAAATAGATGTGGTTTAAGCAGCTAATATTTTAATATTTTCCTCAGGATTTAGTGGAGACTTAATAGAGGAGGAAGGACGGTGAATATTGGACTTACGTTTATCAGATCGCCACGAACAAGACTCCGAATGAATGCTAATGTTGCTACGTGTCTGCTGCTTATTTAAATAGGCAAGCGGTTTCTAACATGTCAACTTTAAGTGAGGATAATACTGTACGTCAATGTTTACAGCTTATTGTGATGCCCTGAGGAGGACAAGAAATCAAGAAAATGTTACTCCTGATGAGTTGATTCTAAGTAAATCTCCCCAAATAAAAATCACAAATATCACTGTGGAGGAAAACAGCTTCCTCTGCCAGGGTGTGACAACACACATCTCAGATTGCCTCAAGCACATAGCAGATTGTATTGCTTTGAAAAGTGGAAAATGCACAACTTTTCTATTAAATAAGTGTAAAAGTAAAATGACTTTGTAAAAATCGAGTCTTTCTGAAGATTACCAAAGCCCTTCATTATATGCTACAAGGCTTGTTGTGCTCAGCGTGTTAAATGCAGAGAACATATAACTCCTTTTGACCACTAATTAAAATCCTTAGAGACATGTTCTTTCTATCAACACCCAGTGGAGGTCTGAGTTTATTTTCTTTCTCTTTTATTTGTCCCTTTCATGTGATAAAACGCTCCGTGCCCACCTATAGTCTGCATTAGTTTCAAAGGACATAATTGCTGGAGGAAGAAGGGAAAAACTCATTTGATTTGTTCACTATCTGATGACGAGTTGAAGCATTTTTCGAGATGCCGTCTCACCTGGCAGCCTCAAAGATAGCAGCAGACACACATAAATGGATGAAAGGACTTTTAGCTTTTACTGATTTTCTAGTCATTGAACATCAACTCAGCGTGACACACGATTGCTTGAGATAATTGTTTTTTGTGAACCAAAGTCAAGTCATTTAAACACAAGGAGCCCAAAGATCACATCCGTTACCAACAATGAACACAATGAGGTCATGTCCAACAACATTTTACAACATCCAGTCGCTTTTATTCAGCTTGTTTTCACACCAAGGACACTGACTAGACAACACAAGACAGCTATGGTATTATCTATACATGTAGAGCTTTTGATCATCATTTCCGACGTAAAATAATTAAAGACGTCTCTTGACCTTGGAGGTCCTGCAGCAATTATATTCTCACAACAAATGTATGCATCATCATTACGCTTCATTCTTGCCACAGTGGCTTTGTACTGCCCAGATATACCTCAATGATTCAATACTACATATATTTCAAGGATTTATCCATTTTCTATACTTGCTTTTTAGCTTTCTTGCTTTAAGTCAGATGAAAATATTGATGACACTCGTCTGTACGCTACAGTGCCACAATGTACATTCAGTGTAAATAATGCAGACATTTTCTTTTAAATTAATCTGTAACACCCATTTATAACCATCTAAATGCTGCTCCAGTTAATATAAAAAGAAAAAGGCTTATACTTTATATACAGCATTAATTAATGTATTTATGTTCCAAGTATGTTGATTCAACGTTTGCCTCTATAAAATATATGACTCACTTTATCAATTAAGGGTACTAATTAAATCTGCTTCCTGTTTAATAATAAGGGCTGACGGTGAAGTACTGCCTATGAAACTATGTCTAACTATTTGAGGGATTTACAGACCTGTGAAAAGGTCCAAAACCTCCAAGGTCATGTCAATTATTTTCTTGAAAATTAAAAAAACTATTCATGAGACCTTGCGAAAACCTATAGCTCTATGCCAAATACTTTTTAGTTATGAATCTTAAAAGGTTGTGAAGTCTAAGCTTAACCAACGGCATGGATGTTTCAGAAACTGGAGTAGTATCAAATCTTTACATATTTTATATGTAGCTAAAGATTTTATAAAGTAAAGTAAGTAGCAAAAATGTGTTGATTATAATATAGTGATGCAATTAAAGCTGGTAAAGGTGCAGCTAGTTTTAATCACTTTGTATACCGCAGCTTGTGAATTTACTCGAGGTGGAACTAAAGTCTGATTTAAGTGCTGATTATATTTCACATCATTAATCCAAATATGTAAACTAACTAAAGGTGTTAAACAAATGTAGTGAAGTAGAAGTACAAAGTAGCATACAATGGAAAATACTCAAGTCAAGTACAAGTATCTCAAAACTACTTAAGTACAATATTTGAGTAAATGTACTCAGTTACTTTCCACTTCTGAACAGGTGCAGCTAACGTATCCTAGCAACAACACTTCAGCTACGGTAGTTAGCTGCGTTATGCTAGCTTAGTTTAGATAACATTTTACTCACCGGGACGTTGTAAAAGGCTTCCTGGATCCCCTCGGTTAATGTTCTTGTCTGTTGTCCTCCACACGGCCGGGTTTCACGTTAAAATCCATCACGTCTTTTCTTGTTTACTTTATACCTTTTCCTGCAGTGTCAAATATGCTACCTACAAGGGGGCGGGACTTAACGTAATTCCACCAACAGGTAACTTTCACTCCGCCTTCTAACCAATCGGAAGTGATGGAATGTTTACTCCAGTTGGCTACTGTTCTTGGAGTGATTTGTTTTGTACTCCTTACTAACTTTATCTCACAGCGAGCTTCAGTTAGCCTACTAGTTACTTTCATTTCCAAATGTAGTGATTTTGTTTGTTTATGATAAAATGAAGGATGAAGGGTTCCTTAAAGAGTTGAGAAAAGTATCTTTCTTCTAAATAAAATATGTGGAAACCTTGTTGGATTGGCTGGAAAAGACATTGTCACAAAGCTGAAAACAGGGCAGCCAATACATGGTTTTCATAAAACCTACAAACTTATGATGAGCTAAAAGAATGTGATGAATTGCTTATTAAATGACCCAGTATAACAAACAGAACCTTTAAAAAAATGTGTTTTACTGATATCCAATATTCATGCATTGCAAACCACCTAGAAATGTTTTAATGACAAGCTGTTGTTAACACCATGCTCTCAACTTGTTTTTAACATTTAAAAGTGTGACACTATTCCTCACATCATCAGCATGGGTTCAGATCCCTTTTGGTTGTTGGCTGCTTAAAATTCTACAATATTATCACTTTCAACGGAGTAACCTAATGACTTGTTGTTCAGCCACAAAGATCAAAAAGCTGCAATCATAAGCATGGATTTAATGAGAAAGCAAATGAATACCTAACACCAAATGCGCTTTTCAGGATTCAGGCTTATTTCAGTTTAATAGCAAAAAGCCGACCCCAATACCCCTAATTACAACTTCTGAGGTCTGTATATCTTTAATTTTGTTCTCTTTATATTTACTTCAAAGCTATAGTACCTCAAGGGCATGACATGATAGGATTTCACTACTTATGGTCCTTGTTTATGTGACAAATAAACCTTTGAATTATTGAATGAATAGCTCACAACACTAAGCAGAAACAAGGAAGTTATGGTGTGTTTATTCAATGTTACAAATCTTACTTCACATGGATTCACGAATGTATTTACGTAATAGAGAACAAATACACACATACACACATATAACATATACAGAATTTGTCAGCAGTAGACAAAATACAAAGTGCTTTACTCAGACATTAAACACAAGATAAATTAACAGATACATAAAACATTTAAACAGAGATGATACAAGAAAAGTTAGGCATGAATTACTTTAAAAAGTAAAGGATAAAAAGTAAAAGACGACACTGAGTAAATTCAGTATAAGGTAACAAATGCTTACAGTGGTTAATGCTGAGAAATAAATCCACTAAAGATCCCAAAATCAATGACATTACAATCTACATGTCATACTCCAATGAATTTGAAGATAAAGCAGTTGTACTGGCTGAAAACGGTTTCCCCTCACTGACTATTGTTGAGCACCACAGGAATGTGCAGCTGTAAATTAAATCTGAAACATGTTCTGCCCACCTGTGCAATGAGATTATGATGAGTCACTACCTGCAACCACAGTGGACAGGAAGCTGTGGTAGAAAACACTCAAACTCTTGCTCGAGGGCATTTTCAGTTATATACTTCTACATTACAGTCTGGAAAACCATGAAAAATATATCTGGAGATAATTATTTAGTGGATTTGCTGCATCCGAGAAAAAAAAGACAGTTAGAACTGAATATCCCCTGTATCATATGAGTCTATACCAAAATTGAAGTTTTTTAGGATAAATATAGGCTTTTAGGGAATTACGCATAGCAGTTAATGGCAACTTCTACATGTGCGTGCGTAAAGTGGATAGCTGTGCGCGCACATACAGGCATCACATCACTGCGGAGAACAGCTGCTGTCAGACGCGTTATTCGGAGAGGGACTGAGGGCTATGGACGATTTATCGACAGATTCGCCTCTCACACTGGAGCAGTCTTCTCCAAAACATTTATCTACTTTTGTCACTAGCTTAAAATAAAGTCTACCTAAAAAATGAGACGCATAGACAACAATCGGTGATTTTTTATTCCCTTTATTCTGCAAAAGAAGGCTTAGAGTTATTCTTTTTTTTTGTCTCATTTGGATATGGCACACATTTGGATCCAGTAAGAATTTCACAGCGTCAGACGCGTCTGCTGCGGGGGAAACCAGCCGGAGGGACTCGGAACTTTGCGTGGCACATGAGACGCTCTCTTTTTTCGGAATCAGGCGCAGAGGGAGCCATGGTGAACTATTTCATACTGGTGCTCAGCTGGACTGTGCTCTCTGAGGTGGCCACAGCTCAGAATGACACGGAGCCTATTGTCCTGGAGGGGAAATGTCTGGTGGTGTGCGACTCTAACCCCACCGCGGACTGGAAGGCTTCGTCCTCTCCGCTCGGCATCTCTGTGCGCGCGGCCAACTCCAAGGTGGCTTTCTCTGCAGTCCGGAGCAACAACCACGAGCCGTCGGAGATGAGCAACAAAACGAGAATAATCTACTTCGACCAGGTTAGGACGATTTTATCATTATAATGTCAGAAAGTGGTTCAATTGGCTTTTAGCAATTCCCCCCCCC